GTAATTGCCACGGAAACAGTAGTTAACCCATAAAATGTTTAAGCACACAGAAAAATAGTAATTGTCTTATAAGGTTATTCTTATACTGTTAAAATAGTAGTTTTCTTCGTTTTATATTAAAAATTTTTTTTTTTTGTAAATTAATTTATACGGATGATATTTATAGACACCTACAATTTAAAGCAGTACTATTTAAAACCACAAACTAAATGAAAAAGAGAAATAGGTTTTCAACTATTTTATTGTTATTGTTTGTTGTTACACTATTCAAAGAAAAAACAAAACATTTTTTTCTATTATTTTTGTTGTTTGTAAAAAATTTTAATGGACCAAAATATAGAACAAAGCAATTCTTTCAATTTTTGCAAATAGTAAAGTTACAAATTAAATATGTTCGTTTTGCACATATTTTTTTCTCTGTGCACGATTAGGGGCGGGTTCTAGTCAGCCTGCTATAACTGAAAAACTGTGTTCCAAATTAGCTACCCAGTGGTGTTATTTTTTTTGCCTGACGAGGGGTATAAAACTATGTCAACGTTTTGGGTTCGGGTTTGAGTTTTTCGGAGGGTGAGCTTGAAGCAGAAGCGGGAGCTAGTCAGATCGTTTAAATAAAACGGTTGGCATGGCATGCAATTTGACTGAATATCGTAGTCATGACATGGGCAAATCTACTTTCATAGCTTTATCAATCGAAAAATGGCAGATGGAATCAGCTTGTTAAGCCATTTAAATAGAACTTACTGCTAAAATTAGGCTAGGAAATATCAGATAAATTAAGACACTTTGCAATTTGTTGTTATTTGGATTAGAAGTAATTGACAACTTTTCTGTCTGTTTTAGAAGTCATTTTGTTTTACACTTTATTCAAGAAAAAAGGAAATTTTTTTATATGTTTTTTTTTTAATTAGATTTTTATTAAGGCTTAAAATTTTATAAGTAACATCAAGAAAAGTCACCAACACAAGGAGCCTAAATCTTGGTTTTTTTAATAACAGCTTTTTGATTTATAATAAAACAATTTTTGAGGGCAAATGCCTATACAATGGCATAAAAAATGGGGGAACTGTGTGGCATCTGTTTGCTCTGTGGAATAAGTGGCAAAAGGGGCTTCGGCAACTCCATTTGCAGGTTTTTGAGCCCGGCTCGGTTTGTTGATTTTTCCCTGTTTTGTTTTATTTTGTTTCATTTGCTCGTGCCGCATTTGGGTCTAGGGTAGTTAAAGTTTATCTACACTCATTTGCCGTGTTTGTGTTTTTCTACCCATAAACCTACTTTACGGTCTGGAAAAAAATTAAAATACTGTTTGCCGTCTTTTGTTTGTCGCCTTCGTATTTTATTTAATTCCAGTTCATTCAGTTAGTTATTTATTGATTCAGTCAGCTGCTTTAAATCTTTAAATAGCTTTTCTCACTCAAATAGGTCATTAAGAAATACGCAAAACTGTGGATCACAACATATTTAAGGAAACGCACGCACACTTGAACTATAAATGCTTGCCCACAGTATTCACATAAATCAGTTGACATTTTTAATGACAAATTTTTGTTGCTGCCTTTGGTTTTCCGACAACTTTCCTCAAGGGGAAATGGGCAACGGAATGCGAAGGTTGCAAAAAATAAAACAAAAATGTATTTCATAAAAAATGTTTCGAGTCTTAACTTAATTGCGGCTGAATCATCTGAAAACTCTTTATCTTATGGCCCATGCCATTGGAAAACCAACTAGATGTGGTACTAAATCTTAACCCTGCCATGCCTGATTACATTTTCAGCTGTTCGCCGCGTAATTGATGGATCCCTTCGAGGGCGGATCCAGGAGTATGTGCTTGTATAGAGCCATTCAAATACCGCCCACACACCACAGGCAAATATCCGTCGTCTTGGCCATTGCTGTCTATTTTTGAAACAACAAACAAATTATGAGATCGAGAACGAGAATGAGAGTGAAAATGGGCGACAGAGATTCAGAATCAGATTCAGGCGGCGCACACGTTTCCCATAGACAGGGCCATATATCGTACTATCTATAGATTGCCTAAGTATTTTGTGATTTTTCTTAATCATCATAAATTCGTGTTGCCTTCACCGCGTCAAACAGCAGCACAAAAAGCAGCGACACGAAGAGAGCGAAAGACATTTGGCAGTTGGACAAGAACTTTCCCGGCGACGGAAACATCAATAAATTAGAAATGTTTAGCTCAACTTTTGGTGGGGTTGAAGGGGTGTTGAGGGGGCGGTGTCTGTGGGGGCCACAACTTATTGTCTGCGCCTTGTCCGATTTTGTGTGTGGCAAAGGAATTCGTGTGTGTCACACTCGATTTTCATAGGCCATAAGTTGCAACATTTAATGGCCTCCATTGAGGTGGTTTCAGTTAACTTCGGGGGTGTAAAGGTCCAGAGGGTTGAATCCCAGGATGCTGCGCAGTCGCGAGCCAAAAATCACAGCAAGGGATGCGGTTATGTTGGAAAATGGTTTTCCAAATACCAGCCATTTTGTTTTCGGTTTGCTCAACCATTCCAACTCTGATTTAAAAAAAAGTTAGATGTTTCTTTGGTTTGCCGTTAAATTGTATTTTATGGTATAAAATACTAAAAAAAAAAATGATTTGCTTTAAACAAAAAGAACAATTCATTTGCTCAAATAATTAAAATTGACGTTAAATTTTATTAAACCTTGTCTAAGGTATTGATTTTATATTTAAATGTATTTTGCAAACAAAAGGAATAATTATAATTTCATGGGACGAAAAAACTATTGTTTTAAACAGAATCAACTCCACTGCTAACCTTTTTTAAAGTATAGAAAGTCTTAGGTCCGCTCAATATACGTATATATATTTGCCTTCTCTTTTAATTTCTGTCAGGCAAGTATACGCCATACAGTTATATAAATAAAATATATTTTTAAAACAAAAATACCAATTTAATTAAAAAATATTTTTTTTAACAGGAAAAAAAGCAATAACCTTAGATATAATTTACTCTAATTGTCAACCCTTTTGATGGTGAAATGATATTGTTCTTACGTTGAATAACTATCTATTTACCATCGCTGCTTCCGTGCACATGTGGGTCAACTTCGCGCCTGTAATTTCATATTCAGCTGAACTCTGTCGACCAAGAACGTCATCGTCGCCCACTGGCCCAGCACCACCCACCACCCACCACCCATTACCAGCCAGCACCACCCGCTGCCAATTAACGTAATTAAATGATGCGTAGGGAGTCAACAGTTGGAGTACTCTGAATTACAGACACATACACGCCCAGGTCCTTGCCACCATGTCATGGTGGGTATCTTATCCTTCTGCTTAATTAATTTGGGACATGGAATAAAAAAGTATAGTTGTATAGTTGCACTCGCCGGCGTTTAATGTTTCAATTGGGAGTTGGAACCGGGATCGGAATTCGGAGAGACTTCCATCGATAATTGGAACCCAACGAAGCCACACAACGGAATCGGAAAACCCACAAAAAAATGTATTTATTTAGTGGAAAAAATAAGAAAACGTCAATCTTCACAGGACATGGCCTGTCAGCATAAGTGAAAAATCCTGCGAGTTGGATGAGAAATCACCCAACACTTTCTTCGTAATTTCCCCAAGGAACTCGTGTAGCGGGAATATCCATTTACTGACCCACATTTTTTGGCCACATTTGGCACGCCCGCACGAAAAGCCAAAGCCAAAGCCAACGCAAATTATGCTAATCATGGGCCACTCGGCATCATCTCTCTTACTTTTGGCCACCGTTAATGACCGCTATTTGCTAGCAAACTCTTTATGGAGTAGTAACACCAGCCTATAATTCTTTTGTGTGCTCTGGCCTTAATTAAACTAATTACGACAACTTAACAGTCAAAATGAAGGGGAACGTAATCTAAACTTGGTTAGTCTTGATAGTTTTACTTAGCCATGATTCATTGTGGAATTTTACTTTAATAATGGTCTAAGTCCTTATAATATATTACTACTCAGAATTATTGTGACAAAAGAAAAGAACATTTTTACATGATCTAAAATATTCTAGTTCTTATTTAATCTCACCATTTTTTATATATATTTTCAAATTATAAATATGTTGTAAATATGATTGTCTTTCAATAAAGAAGATAATATACATTGCTCATCGTTTAATGCTTATCGTTTTTTGAAAGAATAATACTGTAAACTTAATATTTTTTTGTTTGGTGCCTAAGTTGTTTAAACTTTTCTAAATAATTACATTAAATTGTCTTCGTTATTTGTGACAGAACTCACAAGTTACAATTTTACCTTAAAGCCATTCCAAATACCAATTTTCTTTAACATTTGTCACAGAACTCAGAAGTTATGATTTGTTTTAAGAACATGCATATTAATTGAGCATAATACATATTAATTCCAAACAGTAAACCCGAAATTGACTTTCAATTACGAATCCTCGCCGTTGCAAATTGATTTGCATAAATATATTGGCAGCCAAAATCATTGCCTACTTTCAGGCAATCCACATCCGCAGGGTCAACAACTCCTGTCAAGGCTAAAGCAAAATTGTTAACAGAGAAAAGGAGGTACTACACAAGCCAAGATATGCAAAACAAAACGCGCGCGACAAACGAAATAAATTCAAATGCGTTTTGGGCGGCTCTTAAACGTATGCCAGCCCCGAAAATTAATTACAGGCAATAAGGTAATTCCAGCCAAGAGCGCTGTGCTTTTTGTGGCCCAAAGAAGGCCCAGTGTTGCCAAAAACCACTGTTAAATAGAGGAAACGACAGCGGCGACGCAGCGCCAAAGGAAATATAAATGCGACATACTTTCGGGGCCCCAGGTAAAACAATTGCGTGTAACTGGGCGATTAACATGATATGCGGAAATTTTTCCGTATTGCAAATGCAAATAAATGTTGGCAAAAGGCAAAGGGCGGAGGGAGTCCTTTGAAAAAGTGTCTGCGCAGGCGTCGAAACCGCCCCATGGAAAGTACCCACATACCATCGCAGTCGTCATCGTTTTTGCCCCGGACTGCTGGCGAATAAAACTATATTGCATGCGGAACTTGAACGAGTCCTTAGTCCTGAGTCCTTGGGCCTGATAGAAAAAGACTTCGTGCCCGGACAGTTGGCAGGATGTCAGTCAGTCGCCGCAGATCCTCCTGGCTGAAATGAACTCAGAATGGCAGTGTGAATTACTCTAGAACAGCGAGTACCAGCTGAACTTGAAACGGAAAATCAGGAAAACAAAAAAAACTTTTTAAAACTAAAAAACACGAGTATCCATCCTGACAAATTCCAAGCAAATTGCTGCCAAATTATGTCACCCCACGAAGCCCGAGAGCAGACACATTTTTCAAGAGATTTTTCTAGCAAACACTGTGTGTGTGCAAATCCCTCCTGTGACAATCAAAATCGCTGGCAAATAAACTAAAATCAAACTAAAATAACACAAAACAAACGACAAATACCAGCAACTAATCTACGCTAATAAATTGTCAACCAAAATAATTTCAACAATAACCAAAACGTTCAGCACTCAGAGACAAAGATGAAAAAGTTTTTTTTTGAGACGATTTAGTCTCAAATAGTTTTGTCTGTTTTCTGCCTTCGAGGCCGCAAAGAATTCCAGAGGTGAGTAAATTTTATAATATAAATAAATTTGACACATTCATGTTTCACTTTTAATTTCCCTCAACTATTAAAGCCGCCATGTGGGCGTTATGCGTGTGTGGGTGTGGTATTTCTCTTGTTGCATTCTTTTCCTACACTTTTCATGATTTTAAAAGGTATGATGAGGGCAGTAGAAAGCTAAATAATAATATTTCATTAAAAAACACAAACAAAACATTTTTAAGCTTTAACTTCAATCTACTCTTGACTTAAATAAATATCAATCTTAAAAATAAATAAATATTTTTATTTAAAACGTGCTCATTAAAGGTTTATCTAAATAGAAACCAATGTATATATAATTTTAAAAAATTTATTAAATAAATGTCAACAAAAAAAAAGAAAACAAAACAATTTGCTTGTTTAAGCTTTAAAAGATTTCAAACTTATTTATATATACATAGATACATATATCTGTCTATTGAGGGGTATTTAAAAAACTGGTCTTCTTCCCAGAAAAATGTAGTTTTCATTTCATAAACAGTAAAAACATTTATTATCAAGTCCCAAAGTTTTATGTCTGCGCGTATTTATAGACCCCACTAAAACAACAGAAAAACGAACTGTTTGTGGTTTGTAAAACATGCAATCAGGTGTGGGGAAATTGGCTATTTGATAGCGTTCATCAAAGAATTGTGCAATTTTATGAATCGTATAAAATTAATTACTCTGGGGACATCAATTTATTATACGAGTGGCGTTTTCAACATCACCCATATCTCTATCTCTATATTTATCTATATTTATCTGTGGTCCATGACTAAATCAATATCATATCGGGAAAACATAATCTCATTAGTGTTATCTCTGCTAGCATCTCTATTTGCTCTTACAGCTTCAACAGCTGTTAGGAAAACCAATCGAACTAAAATGCCAACCGGTTTAGTTTGAGACACCTATTGAAGTCAGGTGTTTGTGTCAAGAATGCATGGACACAGAAATATTTTTACATAAAACGCAAATCAAGAGCTATAATCGAATAAAATAAAACAGAAATCAGAAATCAAAAATAACCAAATGAAATGGAAAAAGAAACACTAATGTCAATAAATTAAGTCAACAAAAGTGACCAACGAAAGCGGACCGCTATAAAAGACCACGAATATGGAAGGGGGAAACCGAACCCTAGCTGATCTTTAAATCAGAACGGGTTTTGTTTCTGTTTCTATTGCTATTTGTATTTGTATTTCCTTCGCCTAACAAAGAAAATTAAACCTCAATTTGGATTCAAACGGTTCGAATTCAGATTTTGTGCTCAATGTATCTGGTATCTGTATCTCGTGGCTTTTCGGTGTTTCTTTCATTTACATTTTGTGGTCTGTGGCACCCATACCGTCCCCTTCCCCTTCTTTACCCCCTGGCTCACCTGTATCAAAAGCTGTTTCTCTAATTTATTCTAATTGCCTCGACACCGTCCAGATACGGATTCAGATACTTGGCAAGAAGCAGCTGCAACAGTAGCTTGTGGATTGCTCGAAGCTTGTGGATTGGTAGTGGGTAAAAAGTCTACCACCTGATTGCTAATTTGTCACATTCGAAATGCAAGTGCTGGCAGTGCCACCTGTTAGTTTTCAGCGGGTTAAATCGAACTAGATTATTAATTGTTTAATCTTAAAATAGATCTATTTACTTTGATACAATTAAAATAAAAAAGTTGACATGCAACTTATTATTACTACTTAATTGCATGTCAGTGAATCAAAATGCATGTAATTTCTTTCGTATCATGAAAGTGCACTTAAGACCATGTTTTATATTGTCACATCGATTTCATGTCATGAACTCTGTTTTGGTAACGCCATTTTCTTAAAAATTTCAATACTTTAAAGTTTGTTGATTCCTCAATTACCATCCAAAAAATATATAATTTTAAAGGCTTCCCATTTCCTCACGTAAAGAGGACAAAATTCTCTAACAACTATTTAGGTTCCAATTTAAATAGCTTACGTTTAGATATTTCGTATATTTTAATTGATGTCGAGTACAATTTATGGACATTTTTTTGGTCATTTGTAGTAAGTTATTTATTGGATATTTATGGATATATCGTGCTGAAGAGCACGTGCTGTGGCCGATTCAAAGAGCCAAGAGTATTTTATGAGCCCAGCCGATACGTACAGCTGACCCTGTCTCTTTGTTTGCCATTGTTAAAGAGCTAAAAATTATGTGTCTATGCTGAGTAAATTATTATGACTTTCACGCCCCGGGCTCCACAAAAAAGGATGGGCGAAGGGGGCTCGAAAACATTTACAACGTCATACGTAAATGATTAATAACTTGCACGGTCATAATTCTTTTGCCTCATGGATACGGACAAAAAACAAACACTGAGAGACACCCAGTTACTAGTCAACTAGTAAGTATTTTCATAACATTTATTCTACTGTTTATTGTTCTTGTTTTTATTGGTGGCAAACGCAGCCAAGAAGCCAATGAACCGCACAACCGTTTGACGGCTGCACTTATTGTTAGCAGTTGAGATGAGGGCGTGAGGTAATCACGAAAATTGATATACTTTATGGTATATTAAAATATTACAATATACCATATCTGTATTACTTTCATTGATATAAAATAACTAAATTACAATCACAAGAACGTTTCCTTTCTTAGTAAGAAAATACAAACTTAGAACAACTACTATTAATATTAAATCTTCGTTACTTTTATCAAAATAAAATGATTGAATTAAAAGAAGTTTTTCTTTTTCTCGAAAATACAAAGAGGAAGAAAGAAGATACATTAGTTTAAAGTATTCAATTAATATATCATACCTTCATTACTTTACAAGAAGGTTTTAAATAAGAAATATACCAAATTTGAAGAAAAAATATACATACATATGTCATAAAAGTAAAGTTTTCATTATTTTAAATATCGCAACTTAAGGCAATCATTTAGAAATGCTGACAATTTATATCCTTATAAAGGTTCTTTGGTTTTTAACAAAAGATATATATAATAGCGAGAAACTAATGCCCCAACTCACGAATACATCTCTGGCCAAAAGCCTCAGCTGCAGATACATTTTGAGTTGCAGATACACATGTATCTATAACTGTCAATTGTTGTTATTATTGGCCCACTGTTCTCTGTCATCGATGGGCACGAGTATCTGTATCCGGGGCGCGGAGTATCTGTGCGCTTGTTGTGATTGTGAAAGTGAAAACCCACAAGTACCCAACCTCAGGGGCCCCAAGAAGCCCAGAAGCAAAGTTAATACGAGTTGGAGCCACATAATTGAGTTAGCCAAATGCCACATATTTTCGAAAGTTGACTCGACCAGCGGCGGCGGCGGTGGCGGCGGAGCTATAATGACGATCCCATTAAAGCATTAACTATTCATTTCATATTCCAATTGGATCATATGACAATTTGTGACAATCGGCTTAATCAATTCAGACAATTAGCACAGCGCACACAACACACAATCGCCGCGGAACTTTCTTCTCGGCCAAACAGATTCGGTCAGATACATTTGGGGCTGTCATGTTCCCAATCGTTTTGACCGGAGCAAATCCAATTCGAAATGGGGCTCAATGCAATTCAATTCAATTCGATTCAATTCAATTTCGCTTTATTAACCAGCAAGTTCAGCAGCCGCTTTGCATACGCAATTCTTCACTCTTCACCTACAGTCAAATGCAATTTGGTGACCGTGTTTTATGGCCCTGCAATTGCATTGAATTGAATCTTAATTATGGTTCGCCAGAATAGCCAAAGCCCCAATAAAAAAAGGGCCCACAAAAACTTTGGACAAACGGGCTTAGAATTGATTACGCATTCAGCTCATTTACCATAAATCCAGAGGGCGCCCCCCACCCCCATCCCTCTGGTTGTTTATGTAAAACGCGTAGATTTGTATTCACAAACTGACCAAATGGGCCTGCATACGCAATTTATAACGCACACTCACGCGGTGTGGAATTGAAATTTGTCTCAGTCCAGGTCCCCAGGTTCCCCGGGTTCCAGGTCTCCGTCCTCGGTTCTCGGCCCCCAACTCCTCGGTCCCCAAACACCCCGGTGCTTCTTGGTTTTCAATCGACTAAAAGCTATGAAACCAAAATACCGCAATGAATCGATGAGTAGTCGGGTTGGGGAATAGTGAACCAATGAAACCTCTATTTGTAATTGTTTCATCAACTGTCTTAAATTTTGTTACTTAACTTTTAAATTATTTTTTTCTATACCTTCCAAATCAAATGGAGTTTTAGGATTAACTAAGATTTTCTGCTCCTCCTTAGTTCTATCATTTTCCATAGATCAGTATCTAATACAAAATACGTAAACAATTTTTTTTTATTTTATAAATATATATATATATTAATTGGAATAAGCTTCTTATGAAAATAAAAGGATTAAATAAAAAATTAAACGTTACTTTTTAGCTCTTAAAGTTTCCCTAGATCAGTCAATCATTAATAACAAAAACCCATATGCCCGACCCGACGAGCACGTAGGGTACTCTACCATTTCGTATGCAGAGTTTTGAAATGTATTTTAAAATACTGGGCCGCCAAATAATTGATATGCCAACAGAAACGGAGAGAGAAACGGCGCATAGTTCACTGTTCATTGAAATGTTAAATGGTTTCGCCGTTGAGCAGTGCATTAAGGCACATGGTCGTTGCATCGAATTAGGCAAACATCGAGTGCAAAGGTTTTCCTCAAGCTCTCTGAACTCCACCCGAAAATGTGGCGTTGAGTTTCCGCTGAGTTTCCCCCACACTCCACCCCGATTTCGCCAGAATGTTATTCATACATTTTTGTTAGTTTGCCAACAGAAAAAGTAAGGGAAAAGTGAAAAGGGAAGGAGAAGAAGAAGCCAAAGACGAAAAGTCGTTGGAAACGAGTCACATTTCAAAATTGACACTTCAAACGCAACGTTGCCAAGTTTTCTTTATTTTTTTTTTTTTGGTCTAGGGTATGTCAGCTATGCCAACTGCATAGATATTTAAATT